TATATATATATATATATATTTTTTAAATATTCTAAAATGATTTTAAAAAATATGTCTATGGACAAAACTCAGAAAGATAATTTTTAAATATTCTTAATGAAGACTGAAAATGATAAGGTAAAAATAACTAACTTTTTGTAACCTAGACAAGTTTTGTATAAAATGAGTTAACAGAGGCTTCTTATAGTTTCAGAAAAGCCAAACCTAATACAAGATAAAGCATTACAAAGGAATTATAACATTAATTGGATATTCAGTAAACAGTGTAAGAATATAGCATTAGTTGCAAAATAAAGAACTGTTGATTTTCAGCAATTGCTTCTCAAAGTTACCAATCATCTAAAAAAAGTATGAAATTTTCCTCTATGGTTACTACTTTTTATCACTTTATTTCATGGTATTATATGTTGACTGTTCCAAGAGTTTTTTTTTCTCCATGATTTTTTTTTTTTTGATACAATGAGTAAAATCTTAGTTGAGTAAAACTTCCTTATTTTGTAACACCAATTTTGTGATGGTTGAGAATTCTTTTATAATATAACCAAATCTTTTTCAAAAACTTAGTTCTTTCACTGAATAATTAATTTAAAATTAAATGTTTTCAAACTCTTTCCTTTTTCACTGGCTAAGTTAAATTGGGAAGTAAGTTTGGTTGTAAATGGCACAATGAAATTTGGTTTCAGGATATTTAATCTGCTTCAGTTGTTCATCATTTTTTTCCAGAGGAATTTTAAATACCAACTTCAAATCTATCTTGTTTAGCCTTCTTTTCAGTTTTGTATCACTTGAATATGAATATCACTAGTTTTTTATATGTTTTCATATACTTCTAAAAAGTTTACGTAATGTCAATTACAAAGAGTGAAATGATGGTTATATAATGTAAATGATAAAGAATGAATCATCTATTTTTCGAAAATGTCTTTCTGAACATCAACCTGGAAATGGGTTGACAGCTTTCTTGTGCCCCTTTTCCTTTGAGCCCTCGTTCTTGGTTTACCAATTGTAATAAAATTATCTCAAAAGTTTAATCTTGCACTATGCATGATACTCCTTTAGAAAGTGATACTTTTGGCTTGGTGAAGCCATTTTCATTATATATATATACACACACACACACACACACATATATATATATATATATGTGTGTGTGTGTGTGTGTGTGTGTATATATATATATATATATAATGAAAATGGCTTCACCAAGCCAAAATATCACTTTCTAAAGGAGTATCATATATATATATATATATATATATATATATATATATATATATATATATTATATATATATATATAAATATATAATATATATAATATATACATACATAATATATATATATTATAATATATATATATATTATATATATATTATAATATATATATATATATATATGTAATATATATAAAAAAATATATACATATATATATAGACTTTTTGGCATATTTTCAAATATTTACTGCAAAAAATAAATCTAAAAAACCAGTGATCATAATTAATTATTCACCAACCATGACTTCCGGTCACTAAGAGACATGAAATGGTCACCCATGGTCATCACTAATAAAAAACATCATATTTTACGTTTATGGTGATTCTAAAAAACTATGAAAACTTAATAATTTTGAACGGTAAGAACACAAAAACTCAGGAGTGTCCATAATGTAATCAATATAATATATTTATAAGTCAATCATGGTCACTTCAAAATTTATGTTAATTAAAATCACAAAATTCAAAACACTAGGGTTTTATGAAACCAGAAATTCAAACAAAAAGATACATCAAAAATCTAAATCCAATGAAGAAATTTCACAACAATTCCTTAAGAATTCTCACTAATGAAATCACTGGTGCTATACAAACAAGGTTTTACATAGCAATATTTGGGGAAATATTTTATATGCCAACATGAAAGAAATAGGGTGGGATTCCCGAGTAAGTGGGGATCAAATACGCTTCATAAAAATACTTTTGAAGGGGCCAATACAAAAACTTTAACATTTGCTTATTGTGAAAGTAGAAGCCTGCACAAAACTGATAAGGTAACCGTAACTAGTAATTTACCCTTTCTTTGTACTTAAGAGATTTATAAATTTAACAAATTGAGACTGTATAGTTTGTTATTTTATAGGAAAACTTTCCTTTGAGTTATTTAACCATATTTGAAATACTTTTAAAAAATTAAAAAAAAAACAACAGACTATTAGTAATTATTATAAAATTTGCCAGTGATCAAAAGTCTTTCTACTTACTGAGGTTCTCCAATTGAAAGAATATCATCTTCGGGCGGGGAGCACTGGACCCAGCAACAGCTGCTTCCTTTTGATTTCTCCTTCTTCCTCCTTAAGGAAAACCCAAAACAATACTCACCTCAAAAACCCCATATAATTTTTTCTAAACCCCTTTTGCGTTAATTTAAAATTTGTATCTATATTTAAATAAAAGAAATTTCACATTAAAAAATTACCATAAATGATATTAATTAAAATCCCATTTTTGTATTAAACAATTAAAAAAAATCCAAAAAATATTTATTGTTTGTGAAATAACAAAAGCTTAATTTGATTATGGGTGTGTATTTTTTGTATAAGCAATAATATAATCCCATGCCAACTTTTCAATATGTAAATAAAATCATGCATTGGTGTCAGTACTCACTAAGGTGTTATTTTAAAATATTGTTGTCTTGTGAGCATTCTACTGTTAAATAAAAGAAGGTAAAAAATGATAGAAGTGAAATGTGAAAATCTGTACTTCTAATTTTAGATGACTAATGAATTAATAAAAAATAGAAATTATACCATCAAAAATAATCAAACTGACAACTGCGGTAGAATTCTTTTTCTTTATAATAAACCTTTTTTTAAATTATAAGTATATAATTTTATAGTTATAATGCCTTAAATCATGGGGAAAATTTATTTGTTGAAATACTAAGGTCTTCCAGAATCGACATTAAGTCCTTATCTTTTTACCAAATTTTCAATTTATTTTTTTTTAGTTCCCAAGTTTCTAAGATTACATGGTTATATTGCTTGTTACCATGCAATTAAGCCTTTTTTTTTTTTTAATTTTTAGTTCCTAACAGAAATATTTTTGAAGTAAAGAAACAAATAAAATTTAAAACTGAAAAGTATAATATTTAGAGGAACAGAATTTCATCTAAATTAGTTATATATTGAATTCCTAATATGTTTTTTTCAAAATAAATCTTGATTTTATGATCTATTTATATAAATTTATGAATTATCTTGATGGTGGTAAGTTTGAAGATAAATATTTAGCAGCACTAGAGCAAACTCATGCTATACTAAGGTGTAACTAATATTTTGTTTTTTCTTAGCTCCCCATTATTACTTGCAAAATATTAATAAATATATACAAATATTGAAAGCTGATATTTTAACTTCTAATTAACTACATTTTGTAAGAACTTCGAAAGTAATATTAGAGTGTTATAGGATTATCAAACGTTAGTTTCAACTAAGTAATGCATGAGTTCACTTTTTGGCTACCAACTAATCATGGTTAAGCTATAGCATAGTAAGCAGCTTTTGATTAGGCTGAATACTAAAATCCAGTATATTATACTTTATCCAAGGATTAAATATGCATCATAATACTTCTTATAATTGCAGAATGTATTAAGTACTTAGAATATGAACTTAAGGTAATGTCCAATTAGCTCAACAGAATGATGCATTATTCACTTTTTCTAAGTTTTGAATATTTTTTGATCAACAGTACAGATTTTTACAAAATAAGTTTTAAAAAAAGTTGTGAGAAAAAAAATCAACTCAGATATGTATTACAGGTTAAATCAAAGTATGAAAAGGATAATTAAAAAAAAAAAAAAGCAATGTTTACTTGAAACACACACAAATAAGCAATTCATTTTCAGAGTCAAATACTGAAAGTGTGGAGCATTTTATGTATATCTTAAGCATTTCTAATTTACCTATACACAGAGATAGTATATACATCTTAAAAAAGAATATGAACATTTTTTAAGACTAACATATAAATAATAGTAAAACAAAAAAAATCTTAAATGTATGTACTCAAATTCATCAAATGGCTGAAATCAACTTTCAATTTTGCATAAGTGAGTTAAGAAATAAATGATATAATATATTAGAAATTATTTTATTTATCCTAAAATAGATCAAAAAAGAAATTTTCTAGTTTAATAAAAATATACTTTGTCCTATTTTAGAAGTGTTTATTTATGGAATGTTAAAGGAATATTTTTACAACTACAGAGAAAAAATATCTTCAGTTTTAATCAATTCTATAGGAAATCTATTTTTAATCACATACTTTTTAAGTATTAAGTTTCTCAATACTTATACAATTAAAACCATATTTGTTTTTTACTAATTTTTTATACAAGTTATAGAACAGTAAAGTGCAGATGTTAAGGATAATATATTTCTTGAATGATTTAAAATGAATAATTTTATTCACCAAATATTACCTTATCATTATTTTTAAAAAACATATAATTTAATTTTATTTCAAAGATTCTTAATAAGTACCCTTAAAAAGCAAAACAAAAACTTTATTTATAAAAACATTATAGAAGATAAAAACCAAATGTAATTTAAATAATCTTTAGAAATTAAGTACCATTGTTCCTAAGTCCTAAGGGAGATCATTGTGTATGAATTTTACAGCTTTTCCAGAATAATTAGAATTTTTGAGATTCTTGAATGTCACTAAAACTAAGAATGAAATAGCTATAATTATATTTGTCAATTCTTTTTTCTCTCTTTTTAATCTGGAGTGAAACCAAAACATTAACACAGTGAGGATGATAGCTGGAGGTTAGATTGTGTATAAAGAAATAAACAAAACAGGAGAAATTAGGAATAATAATGTAATAATACTGAACATCATAGATGAAATTAAATTCTTAAAAATATTATTAAAAATCCACACAAACAATGAGATGAAAATGAAAAATCTACATTTAATGAGGGCAGTGGGTTTCAATTTACCTCCTGCTTGGCTTAATGCCATGGGATTCCATTTCTTTTTCAAGCTGTCGTATCCTGATTCTGGCAAGGTCCAATTCATGCCTCACCTTCCACAGGTGAGTGTCGCAAATAGGGTCATTGCACCTGTGATGACGGAGTATGTCCTGTGCTTCGTAGACAGCACCTCTAAATGTTAAGGATTTGCCCATACTCTGGAATTATCATTATTGTCCAGATTACAAATACATTTAATTAGAAAAGTTAAAAAATACATGTTTTATGTTATCAAACAATATGGTTATTATATGTACAACTCATCACTTTTGTTATGGTCTTCATTTTCTGAGAATATGTCGCAGTGGGCTAAATATTTCTTTAAAAAAAATTACATTGATGTTTTATGTTAAAAAAAGTTCACAAAACCACTTTTAGACACCCTATTTAAAAACAAAATATGCCCTTTTAAAACTAGAAGAGTACTGAAGGTAACTTTTACTGACAGGAGTATAAAATGTTTATTCCAACCACGTATGAGTCTCTGGAATAGGAAAAGATAGGAAACAGACAGTGGGAAAAGACTGTAGTGTTCTTCCAGAAGGACCATCTGGATCCAGAGTGTTTAGATATCATTGTAAATATTAATTATTAAATAAGTAAAATAAATTTAAGCTGTCATAGTCAATGTGTTAATAATGTATAAAACAACAAATGATTTTTTCTTTTTCAGAGACTTACTAGACTGACTAAGGCACAACATCCTCCACGGTCTGTTTTGGCAAGATGTTTCCTAACATAGCGAAAATAAAGGTACTCCAAAAGTAAGAGGGCTGCTGCGAGAAGGATGCCAGCCATCAGGAGCAGAAAGGCTGACAAGAACTGTTCCAGTGCTAGAGGATCACTGCTCTTCACCTCCTGCTTTCCTGGCTTGCATGTACCAGTCATCCAGTAACGTCTTAGTCTCTCCAAGTCACCTAAATATGGGAGAAAAATGTTAATAAATGCTTTTAATACCAAACTGTTTGGATTAACACTAAACAAGAGTGAAGTATTTGATAATTTTAGATATAACTTTCTTTTATTAGAACAAAATGCAAAGATATATCGAGATGTAGAACCCAATTAATGAGTCATAGTCCGCATACCATAAACTGCAATTTTCAGAACACTCTTTACTAAAATATATGATCATTAAAACCATTTTAACTAATTATGTAATCATAATTGAGATATGTAGCAGATCATTTTAAATTACTTAAGGTGAATTATCGGTAAAGTAAATAAAATTTATTTCAGAATACATTAAAATGCATACTACCTACCTACCTATTACCAGCATAGTTTGTCAGTTAATTGTTAAAAAATACTAGACCTGTCAGAAAATTGAATTTTAGCCTCGTGTTACTAACTACAAATATCCTTATATTATTATTATTTTAAATCTACACCCTTTTTAGAGTTTCTCAAAAATTATCAGTTTTTTAAATATTAAAAATTAAATATTGATTACATATCATTATTTTATGTTTATTCTATTTCTATCCTCTACATGCAATATACACCATTAATTTAATTATAAGTAATATAACATTTAATGAAAAAAATAATGTTACATGAAACACGAATGTCTTTAAATCAGTTATTTACTTAAATAATAAAATCTCAATATTGAATGGTTATTTAACTAAGTTAGGTTTCGCTTCAGTAAACATTTTGAAAGTTAGTGCAGAAGTATTAATTCTTCAAAAGGTGATATTTTGTTTTATACTTGCAATTTCATTGACTCCTTTCAGACCATTACTGCCAGGAAGTATACCATTTGCTCTTTTATTATTATTTTTACAGTTATTTTCTACTGTAAAAACTTAAATTAATTATAAATAAGTCTGTTTATTATTATTCATTTAGAATAAATTTGGCTGATCAACAGTTTAAATGATTTCAGATAATTTTCTGTCATTGATAAATTAACTACTTACCAAATAAATACTAATATCCTCATAGTTTCGTTTCAACGGTTTGGTTAATAGATTCATCTTTCCTAGTGTTGTTACGTTGGATGGAATATATATATGCAAAAGATCTATTCAATCCAATAAGGAGCACTTTTCTGCTCCATCGCGCATTAGCCGTCCTAACATTGCCTTTAAAATTCAACATCAGTATTGAAATGAATGGAATGGTACAGGAAATAAAAGCGATATAAGTCATCGGTGAATTGATCTTCTCGAGCCAAAAGCAATTATGCAGGGATAAAATCAGGCGGCTTTAGCCGATTCATTGTGAGGGGATTCTGTTCTGAACGAATTCGCTCAATACCACTGTTGACTGATTTTAAACAATAATAAGCTAAGTTGAGCGAAAGAGCAACGCCGTATTCACGCTCTTCTCACATTTGAATTGGGAGTAAGATATGACATCGTTTCTGACAGCGGCATCAAATTACCGTCAAAAAATGTCGATATTGGATAATACAAAAAGTTCTACTGAAGAACATACATTGGTGAATCAAAGTTAATTATAAATTAGAGCTAATTATCATAGGGTTTACTGGAACCAAGTTAGATTTAAAGCAGGAATGAACAACCCAATAACTCTGCATTTCCTACGGCCCCTATAAAGATTTTAAATTTTTATTTTTAAACAATGAATCCGAAAATATACGAAAATAATAACGGAATTTTAATCGTGATTTAACGAATTTGGGATCCGAAAAGATCCTATGAACAATATCGATTCTTCATTATTTAATACATACATCCATGTACGTAAAATATCTGATATGTTGTAAATGGCATTGACAGATTTTTCAAAACGATACAGATTTAAGGGCGTATTATTGGCTAGATTTTAATATCCAGACAATAATTATGAAAAAAAAATAGCTGTCAGTAAACGCTAATATTGAAGATTAATCTCCTAGATAGTTTTCACTTAAACGAAGACTGTTACTTAGAAGAACAAAAAATCTTTTTTAGTTCGAAAAATGACTAAACAGTTTCTTTTTTAAATACAAAAAATATGAAAACTTCCACTGAAGATGATCAGTCAAAAGTTTTCCAAATATTTAGGATGTATGTTGTAAATAAACAAAAGATGATTCATATCATTTAGGTTAATTTAAAACGTGAAAATAGAGTAATGAATAAAAAAAAAGGAAAATAATATAAACATTAGTATAACAAGAAAACATTTTCATAAAAAAATAATCAATGTTCTTTTCTAAAAATTGGTGTTTTTTTTTTTACTAAACAGTTTCTTTTTTAAATACAAAAAATATGAAAACTTCCACTGAAGATGATCAGTCATAAGTTTTCCAAATATTTAGGATGTATGTTGTAAATAAACAAAAGATGATTCATATCATTTAGGTTAATTTAGAACGTGAAAATAGAGTAATGAATAAAAAAAAAGAAAAAAAAAAAAGGAAAATAATATAAACATTAGTATAACAAGAAAACATTTTCATAAAAAAATAATCAATGTTCTTTTCTAAAAATTGGTGTTTTTTTTTTTTAAGTATCAAGATGTGACTGCATTGAAAAATTGATTAAAACAAGTTCCAAAAGATAAAATATCCAATTTCTTATTTAACTCATTTTGAGCAAGCTGGGCGAATTAAAAATCAAGCGAAGACGTATCCGATTATACAATTAAAAACAGAGATGATATTTGAAAAAGCCAAGATGGTATGGAATGCACATTATACGTCGTAATGGTAATATTATGAGCATTGTACATTGATAATGTTTATATAAAACTGATCACTAGCAATTGAAATTTTGAACAATAAACTGAAAAAAATAATTGGCCGCCTAGACTAATGAAAAATCTCTCACAATGTTGTTATGAGTACAAAGTAAGACAATAAAATGAACTTAACAAATAAAACTTGGTTAAAAAAAAATGATAATGTGCTTTCAGACCGATATATGTTCAGAATTAATGCAATATCTCCTTACCAATATATCAGAAATTCATCCTTCCTTTGACAGACTGTGAGTGAAGACCGAAAAGTACTTTCTTCGGTTTACTATTACAATATCGGCATTGCTATGTATTTTGGTTGTAAGAACTATGTTTTAGGTACTTCATTGTTTATTTTTATTAATTTTACTTCCATATTAGGTGAAATATTTTTCTTATACTTATTTTAGATTTATATAGCATAGAGTGTAATATAAGCACATATTTTGTTTTCACTTTTGTCATCTAATATAAACGTGTAAATATTTTGTAGCTTGTAGGGCATATCGAAATTAATGTTTTAGTTGCTCATAGTGATTATTATTTCCTTGAATATTTACAAGAAATTACTTTTGTAATTGTTAAAAATATCATTACGAAAATATCTCGTGTGGCTGAAGTAGCAAAACCAACAATTTTTGCCAATTTTGTAGATACAGAATATAAATCTAGCTGTTTGTAGAGAGAAAAACCAACAGAAAAAAACTGGGGTTGGTCAGTTCATATCGGGGCTCAATACCAGCATACAATAATATGAAAATATCGCCATCGTGGGAAATAGAGGTCATGGCAATAGCAAATATTAGATAGACAGTTCTTTAGTGCGGTCCAGATTTTACGATGGAAAAAACCAGGATCAAATAATACTCAATTCTGTTTTGTCCCGAGGCAATTTCCCTGCTTACTATAATAAATCAGCTATCTACTCGCTTACGGAAACATCCTAACACAATTAACAACAAGCCAAAGCAGCAGCAAGTGGATGGAATTTTATTGATTAAAGCATGAATATGATAAAAAAATTGCAATAAAACAAGTAATTATCTTAAATATTTTTTTATAAGGTATCCTGTAAGTAACTATTTGGATACCTAGATCAATAATTTATGAAGAGTTCTTTGATTCAATTAGTTTTTTTTTTTAATTTAATTTTTCTCCCCTTTGATCCAAAGAGTTATGAGCTAACTATAACTGTGGACTCAGTTATTATATGTTCTTTAAGAACTTAAACAAAGTGAATCTAAATTAGTATAGTTTTAGAAAGTATAGAAAGAAATAATCATAGAAAATGATTTATTTCATAGATTGCGATCTTTCAAGAAAAAGTAGATAGTGTCTCGTAAACAGAAGAAAATATATTAAGGAGTGATAAACTTCAATTAAAAACTACAAACAAGTTCTTATAAAAAAAAATACTAATTTAAAGTTATAACTCATTATTAAAGTTAACATTTCTAAAAAAAATAGATAAATAAACCTGGGTAATTACCTTAATTATTTTCATGAAAACGTAAACAGGATCTGGAACATTTAGTTGGTCTCTAGTAAATATCAATTTCTAAAGTAGGAATGTGGGTGAAAAACAGTTTAATAATGACTTTAGATTAGATAAATATTTAAAAAACAATTATTTTTAACAACTTTTTTTAAAAATAAAAAGCGTAATTATGCATTTATATTTATTATAATACATTTCTTGCTAGGAAAAAAAAGTTAAAGCTTTGTAATAAATTATTGTAGTCATTTTTACTGAAAACACCGGTGCTTTTAGGTGACAGGATATCAAATAACAGATCTTTTTTTTTACACAAATTGAGATTAATGGAAATTCATTTCTTAATAAACCCTCAAATTAATTAATATAGACTTAAATATTTAAAAAAAAAATAACTTTTCTAAAAGTGGGGTGAATGTAGTATAGTTGGAGTGTGATTTTTTTGAAGGATAATTTAATTTAAATTAAACATGACTAAGCCATTCTGTATCTCATGTGGCTGTAATAAGATGATTAAATTCACTTATTCACTAATTGTATTCATCACTTATGATCGAACGCCGATGATATACGTAATGTAGTGGTTGTGTTAAATGTTGCTGGACGGTTCTAAAAATGCGTGTGAGATATACTATCCGAACTATGTAAAATTTAAGAATATTATATAAGCAACAGCGCTCAGCTTTCAGCAGAATATCTCGTC